AGGCATTTTCTATGTTTCTTATTCTGTTTTGTTTCTCTTCTTGTTCAAGTTCCAGCTATTATGTAACTTTGTGTTAATTTCAGCATCTGGTAGATTATTCCTCTTTTTGCATATTTGTGTTCACTTATTCCTTTAATTAATCACTGTAATTTCCTTTTCTTTATTTCAGGAACATTTTAGTGGATAAACCAAATGACCAATCTTCAAGGTGGTCTTCAGAGAGCAACTACCCTCCCCAGGTAAGATTATGCATAGCTCCTGGTACCATTTAAAAGTCAAATTTTAAATAGGCAGGCATTTAATTGATATCAGTTATCTTGAGTTCATTAATAGTTTATTCACTCTTTGAAATTGTGAGATAAATTTTTATTTCCTCTTTGTTTAAATTTTGGAAGAATTTTTATTTCATAGGCAAATACAGTGTGGTATTTGATGCAGCATAGACTATACTTATGATTACTGGAACATTTAAAATCTAGGTTATATGTTTTCTGGATTACTAATGATGCAAAACTAAGTTTCTTGATCTGTTCTGAAGAAAATGTTAACTAAAAAGAACTGGGTTAAGGTGCTGTTAGTGTTCTGAGTAGTAACTGTTGGGAGTACTGATCCGAGCAGAGATTGTGACTTTTACTGCACTAAACTGAGGTCACTGTGTAAATATTAAAGAGATGTTAGTAAATTGAACTTTAACCCAATGATTCAGTAATTGCCTTTTGGGGAAATAAACTTGATATAGTTTGTTATTTTACTAAAGTAGTATATTTAGATGACATTGGGACCATGAGCCAAGTTTTTCCTTGACAAATGGTGTCTGAAGTCATCTGAATTAAAAAATAATCATTTTTCAGTTATATAATTTCAACATTAACATGTATTGTGTCCATATCCTTGAGGAAATTAATGCTCTGATAGGGAAAGCAGATGGGTAAATAAAAAAATTTTTTTATTCTAGTGTAATTCTTGGGAACCTAGTCTCTGTATTTATTTTTCCTTTTTAATTGTTTTTGTTTGCTTGTTTGTTTTGCTGTTTATAAACCTTTTTGGATCACCTGGTTTTTAAATGTTTCATTGCAAAATATACATCCAAAGATATATACTTACATGTATAATATAAAGAATAATAAAGCAAATACCCGTTTCCTTGTCAACCATCTTTAGAAATGGAAAACTACTACAACCTTTGAAGTTTCCTGTGAGCCCCATCTTATATCTGTCCTCTAATCCTACCCCATTACCTATTGTTTCATATTTTGTTAAGTGTATTCTCATAGTATTATATATGTATATGTTTATAAAATACCCTGTGATTTAAGTTTTGTATCACTTTTACTTTATATAAATATAAATAGAATCACCCATGATACATCTGTGACTAGCTTTTGTTTGTTTATTTAGCATTATGATATAATGTTGCTGAGTATAATTGCAGTTAGTTTTCACTGCTGTTTAGTATTCCAGTGTATGAATATGCTGAAATATATTTATCCACTTTTCAGTTGGTAGGCTTTTGGATTTTTTATCACTTTTTTTTTGCTGTTAGGAACCAGGTGCTGTGAACATTCTTGTAGGTTGTTTCCTGGTACATGCATACAAGAGTTTCTCTAGGGTATATATCTAGGTGTACAATTGCCAGATCATAGAGGATATGTATGTTTAATTTTTATCTGGTAATGCAAAACTGTTTTTATTAAATGGCTGTGTAATTTATATTTTAACTGGCAGTGTATGAAAGTTGCTGTGCATTGTACTCTCCCCATTATTTTTATGGCTGATTTTTAGATTTTGTCGGTCTCGTGGATCTTTCATTGTAACTCATAAAATTAGGTTCCTGCAAGCATATTGTCACAACATTTTCATCAACCAATCAGTACATAATGTTGCTTTATGTGTGTTTCTGTTTTAAAGATACCTTACTTTAAATGTATCATTTATTCATTAGCATTGAACTCACAGCCAGTAATAGTACTGTAACTCTTGCCTGAATGAAGTGTATATAATACACTTATCTTCTCTGTAAAGCACATCACAACTTGCGTTCAGAAACACTAGACAGCACTTTAAATTTGGGGACCATTTTATCTTTTTTGAGGGGGTGGGAGAGAGGAAGTAATTAGGTTTATTTATTTATTTATTTATTTTTAGAGTCAGTACTGGGGATTGAACCTAGGACCTTGTGCACACTAAGCATGTACTCTACGACTTGAGCTATATACCCTCTGCCTCTGGGGACCATTTTAGACAGTGAAATATCAACAGGAAAGCACAAAAACATTTTAAAATGTGGTGCTAAATATACCACAAAAAGAATACTTTTTTTATTATGAAAGCTGAAACAAGAAAGTACAGGGTCCCTTGTTTGACCATAGCTAGGAGAATGTGCACCAGGCAACTTAAATTTTTTACTGCTTGGTACACGTCCAGGAATGACTGTGAGTATTGATTCTGATGTTACAATAAATGTTAGTGAGTAGGTGAATTTTCCAGTACAGAACCCACGAATAATGAGGAACAACTGTCCTGTAACTACCAATTCATTTACCATATTTTGAAGATTAGAAAGAAAGGAAAAGAGGACTCTGAAAAATCAAAATCATTGTGATGAAATTTTAGGTCCTGAGGGCCTTTTCTTAAGAATCTGCTTTGGATATAGCGTTATTCTGTTTGGTTAATTGTTTCTTCTGGTTTCAGCAACCAGAAGCAGCTTTGTGCATGGTGGACATAGCTTAAAAAACAGGCACATTAACAGCAGGTTGACAACTGACAAAGTGTCATGAGGGGGAGGACAGAAAAATCTAAGCAACAAATAGAAAGCTAAAGTATAACATTTAGGACGTTTTTAGTGCAAAGGTAGATAATACTCTGTGTTTCAGTAATTGTTAGGATAGTGTTTCCAGTAAATTTTCTGCAGTAATGAAAATATTCTGTAAACTGCATTGTAAAATATGGCAGCTGCTAGCCACAGGTGGTTATTGAGTACTTGAACTAATGCAACTGAGGAATGAATTTTAAAATTTTATTTAATTTAATTTAGATTAAGTAGCCCCAGGTGGCTAATGGCTGTGTATTAGACTGCACAAATCTAAGACATCACAGTTGTTAGGATGTACTATTTGATTCTTGTAGTAAATGACTTGTCAGTAAGAAATTTTAATTATATTTAGTATATGCAGCTTAAGCAGATAAGGAAGTTATTAGTATAGTTATCTAGAGAGAGGTGGAAATCAAACTTAAAGCCCCTCAGCTACTCTTTTTTTTCCTAGAATGAGAAAGGACTGTATGTGTATGTATGGGTCCTAAGATGTATGGCATATTTTGACAATGACACCTAGAGTGAATGAACCCTAAACACTACTGTCTAAAGCTCATATTGGAGTATGAGTGGGATAGGTAGAAATACACATATTTTTCTTGTAATATATGTTGGTTATTTTTTCAGATGACTACTAAGTTTCAGGACATAACTACTTGGATCTAACTACTTAATTAATAAAACTGTTGATGTTCTTTTGACCTTGGATGCTGTATAAGTCATGTATTGATGTATAGCAGATTATCACAGAACTTAGCAGTTAAAGAACAAACATTTATTATTTTACCCTGTAACTGAGATCAGATTCTGGCTCAGGAGGAAAAAAGAGTACCCATCTATAGGAGAATGCTAGAATACATTGGAATACATAAAGAAATATTGTCTGTCATTTAAATAAAATAATCTGGCTTTATACCAGTTGACTTGGAGGAATTTCCACTATTCCTCCAAGAAAAACATGATACAGAGAAGCATCTGTAATAAGATCCTACTATTGTTACCTGAGTAACAACTCTCCTTCCCTCACCAATATGTATGTATGTATATATGAATATTTGTATTTGAAACAATGAGCCCAGGTAAAGATATGAAAGGATACACATCTGGTTGTTGGCATCAGTTATTTAAGAGAGGAGGGGGTGCAGGAGGAAAAAGAAATAAAACAATCATTTGAAAAAGTTATTCCTATTTAAAAATCAGATGTGATATTCAAATTATGTAAAGTATGTCTGTGTGAGTGTGTGCATAGAGTTAAACTGAATCATCATCAGAATGGTGGTGGTTGTAGCAGGATAATGGAATTTAAGTGATTTTAAAATTTCTTTTAAATTTTAAATTATACTTTTATCTTTTGATTCTCATTTTCATTTTGTTTTTTTTAGTATTTGAAGATTCTTTTTTAAATATTGTATTATTGAAGTGTAGTTGATTTACAATGTTAGTTTCAGGTGTATAGCAGAGTAATTCAGTTATATTTATATGCATATATATTTTTTCTTTTCGGATATTTTCCCATTATATGTTTTTATAAGAAACTGAATATAGTTCCCTCTGCTATACAGTAGGTCCTTGTTGTTTATCAATTTTATATATAGTAGTTTGTATCTGTTAATCCCAAACTCCTAATTTATCCCTCCCCCACCTTTCCCCTTTGTTGACCATAGTTTTGTTTTCTGCATCTGTTTTGGTTTGTAAATAGAATTTGTATCTTTTTTTAGATTCTACATATAAGTGATATCATGATATTTCTCTTTCTCTGACTTACTTCGCTTAAAATGACAGTCTCCAGGTCCATCCATGTTACTGCAAAGGGCATTATTTTGTTCTTTTTTATGGCTAAATGGTATTCCATTGTGTATATACACCACAGCCTTTTTATCCATTCATTTGAACCTTCTCCCACATCACATATGTTTTACAGAGGTTACTGATACTGTCATAGAAAACATGTCTTTCAAGATGACTGGGGAATACCCCAGGGTTGGTTAAAATGTACAGGCGGTTAAATATGTCTTGATAATCGCTTTAAGAAAGATTAGATCATATATAAGTTCCTTCTGAGATAATTTAAGCAAAAGTATGATATTAGGTAATAGTCTTTGCTTTCTGGGGCTAGAAAGGGCAGTTAAAGTTGTTTAACAAACAGCAGGCATTCTGCTTTTGTATCTAAGCAGGTCAAAGAAACTTTAGTGATTATTTAATACAGTTGGGGTGTATGTATGGAGGGGTGTGTGTGTGTGTTATAACTTTTGCAGTGCACTCAGGTTATTCTTTTCTGTTGATGAACCATAACAAGAATATTATAGGAACAAGAGTTAGTTGAAAAGTGACTAAGAAACATTTAGAAAATATATGCATTTCAATGTAATTTCAGTCTGTGGAACCAGGATACCAGTTTCATTATGCTATTTTGTACAGGTTTGTGAA